GTGCATAACTATAAGAGCAAAGAAGTACAGAAAGGTAGAGGTATTTTTTCATTGTCGATATTCCATTAACAGGGGTATTTGAACTGTGGAAAATATAGTCGCCATTATATAGAAGAAACCTTATTATTGATAATAATAATTATTATCAATAATAAATAGAAAAAATATTCAATATTTTGATAAAACAAAATCAGAGGTATGAACATGAGTGAACAACAAGGGCATGATCATAGTCATGCTGTCGTCACAGAAGGAAATGTAAAAAAACTAACCTTTGCATTGGCGTTAACCAGTACCTTTCTAATTGTTGAAGTGATTGCGGGTTTCATGACGCAAAGCTTGGCTTTATTGTCCGATGCAGCACATATGTTTACTGATGCAGCAGCATTGGCAATTGCATTGGTTGCCATCAAAATTGGTAAATTACCCGCAGATGATAAACGGACCTTTGGCTATCAGCGTTTTGAAATTTTAGCAGCGCTGTTTAATGCCATGATGCTGTTTGTGGTTGCAATTTATATTCTCTATGAGGCGTATCAGCGCTTTAGCCAACCCCCTGAAATTCAGAGTGTCGGTATGATGGTTGTGGCGGTTATTGGGTTGGTGATTAACCTTATTTCAATGAAGATTTTATTCTCCAGTTCAAAGGAAAGCCTCAATATAAAAGGTGCTTATCTGGAAGTGTTAAGTGATGCACTGGGTTCTGTGGGGGTGATCATCGGGGGCGCAATTATTTATTTCACCGGCTGGATGTGGGTGGATACGATTATTGCTGTACTCATTGGCTTTTGGGTCTTACCAAGAACATGGGTTCTGCTAAAACAAAGTATCAATATCTTACTGGAAGGTGTGCCTGAGGAAATTGATATTGAAAAATTACGTAATGATCTTTTATCGGTTAAAGGTGTAGAAAGTATTCATCAACTTAAGGTTTGGGCCATTACATCTAAAAATGTGCATCTGACAGTACATTTATTTGCACCAGAAGCGGATCGGAATCAACTGTATCAACAGGTCATGGAAATGCTCAGCCATCAACATGGGATTACTGAGATGACGCTACAAATTGAAGACAATGAGTGTATGGTGCATTCGCATGAATCAGATGGGCATGATCACAGTAATGCTGATGATGACACACATACAGATGAAGCAAAAAACCATTCACATTAAGGTGAATGGTTTGATTTGAACATGAGGCAAAGCTGAAGGATTAGATTTGCCACTCATGATTGCAGTCACGGCACTTCCAGCTTTTATTGGCTTGCATAAATGATTGCATTGATATTTTAAAATCAGGCAGATCACGCCAAAACATTACCCCTGCAATCACAGCTGCAATGAAGACCACAACTGTTGCAATTTGCAATGTTTGACCTGCACCGTTGCTGAAAATCCACATCACAATACTAATGACGACCAGTAACAACAAAATAAACAGTAACGGAATCAAAAATACCAAGCTTTTTGGAACAACAGGACGTACAGCAGGCGTATTCCCATGGGTAACAGGCAAGATTTTTCGACTTTGGCACTTTGGACATTGGTATTGCATGGTGGCTCCACATTTATAATCTAAGCATATTCTAATCGTTCTATTTTAGAATGCAAAAAAGACTGAATAGCAGCTTAAAAGCAAAATTTAGGCAATAAAAAACCCAAGTCATTATGCTTGGGCTTTTTACAAAGATGTCGCCATCTTGAATATGGCGTCCCTACGGGGATTCGAACCCCGGTTACCGCCGTGAAAGGGCGATGTCCTAGGCCTCTAGACGATAGGGACAAGTGAGGCAACACAGGTAAAACTTTTGGTGGAGTCAAGGAGGATCGAACTCCTGACCTCTACAATGCCATTGTAGCGCTCTACCAACTGAGCTATAACCCCCAGTCTGTGTGAGCGCAATATTAGGGATATTGCGCTCACACGTCAACAGAAAATTTAATTAAGCTTCATCAACTGCATCATTTTTCGGCAATTTGATGCTTTCGTTCAGTTTTTCCCAAACTTTTGCTTCTTTTTTGCTCGGGCCACCCACAATTTCAAGTGCATGACGTAAACGGGCAAAGGTTAAATCCGGGCCAATGGTGACCATCGATTGCATCACAGGAGTAGATGATGTTGAACCAGCAATTGCGATAAAGAATGCTGGCATGAAATCACGGAGTTTGATTTCCATTTGATTCGCTAAATCCATCAATGTTTGGCTCACAGTATCGTTGTTCCAGGTAAACAAGCTTTCTAAACGCCAAATTGCAAATTGTAAGCTTTGACGAACTTGTTCTTCAGTCAACTTTTTGCTGTCAAATTGCTCTTTGGTCAATGTTGGGAATTGATTGAAGTAAAAACCAGCCCAATTTACTGCTTCAGACAGTAAGTTAATACGTGGTTGAATGGCCGCAGCAATATCTTCTAAGGTTTGGCGATCAGATTTCCAAGCCAAAAGTGTATTTAACAGTTCAGCAGGGCTGAGTGCTTTGATCCATTGTCCATTGAGCCAGTTTAGTTTTTCAACATCAAAAATTGGACCACCCAAAGACACACGTTGAATATCAAAGTGTTCAATCATTTCAGCCAAAGAGAATTTTTCTCTTTCATCTGGCATTGACCAACCCATACGGCCTAAATAGTTTAGTAACGCTTCAGGCAGCACACCGATGTCTTTATAGTAGTTGATTGAGGTTGGATTTTTACGTTTAGACAATTTTGACTTGTCTGGGTTACGCAACAATGGCATATGGCACAATGTTGGCATGTCCCAACCAAAATATTGGTAGAGCAACTGGTGTTTTGGTGCAGATGGAATCCATTCTTCACCACGAATCACATGGGTGATTTCCATTAAATGGTCATCGACTACATTGGCTAAATGATAAGTTGGCAAACCATCTGTTTTGAGTAGAATTTGCATGTCGACTTGCGCCCAAGGAATCTCCACTTCACCACGAAGTAAGTCATTGAATTGGCAAACGCCTTCTTCAGGGACTTTCATACGGATCACATGGGCTTCACCCGCAGCCAAACGCTGTTGTACCTCTTCTGGGGAAAGTTTTAGGCCACGACCGTCATAACCAGGGGTTTCACCACGGGCTTGTTGTTCAGCACGCATTTGATCAAGCTCTTCCGCCGTTGCGAAACAGTAAAAGGCATGACCTTTTTCAACAAGTTCTAAAGCATATTGTTTATAGATTCCCATTCGCTCAGATTGGCGATAAGGAGCATGAGGTCCGCCGATATCAGGCCCTTCTGACCAATTTAAACCTAACCAACGCAGCGAATCTAAAATCATTTTTTCAGATTCAGGGGTTGAGCGGAGTTGGTCAGTATCTTCAATACGAAGAATAAATTCGCCACCATGTTGTTGTGCAAAGCATAAATTAAACAAGGCGATATAGGCAGTGCCTACATGCGGAAAACCAGTTGGAGAGGGTGCAATACGAGTACGGACTTTCATAACTAAATATTATTCAGAATGTAAATTGAAACTATTATAACGAAAAAGCCCAACTGCTTAAGGGTTAATTCACCAATAAACGATTGGGCTTCTAAATTCTTTTGAGGAGCGTAGAATTTATTTTTCTAAATCAAATTTTTACAAAGTATGCGGTTGGAATAAAGCTTGTACAAAACAAGAAAATTTTTGATGTTGTTCAGCTAAAAAGTTTTGTGAGGCTGTGGTTTTAATCGATGTTAAAACTTTAAGCTGATCTTTATCTGAGATCAGTTTATTCTCGCCACGCTTTTGTTGATTGAGCGCTTTTTCAATCGGTGATTGTTTATCTACCACAACAATTAATGATTGTATTGGCTTGGTCGTATCTTTAATTGCAGCAGTATGGCCTGTTTGTGCCATCACTGTGAGTCCTAGACTTAAGCCCAAGATCTTTAAATAAGAATCATTCATTCCATCGGCTCCCCTTGACGGTCAAATTTTTGTTCTTGAACATGTTTATTGTAGCAAAACAACTTACAAAAAGCATAACTACGTCACATTTTTTAATAATACTACACAAAAAATGTTTAAAAAACAATCATTGAAACGAAATGTAATATTTTAATTGATAACATATAAATGTGGATGAATCGTGAAGAATTCAAGTTTAGGTTAATTTGTGTAAAAAATATACTCAATAATTTACATGAGTATTACACATTTTTAGATATCTTAAATTATGAATAAGATAGTTTAAATATTTATAAGTAATTGATTGTTAAATTAAAACAATAAAAATATAGTGCTTCTAAATCATTAGAAACCGAGAAAGAAATGAAAAAACTACTGCTTTTAAGTGCGATCAGTTTAATCGTCACAGGGAATGCCTATGCAGCGAAAGAATTTTTAAATGTATCTTACGATCCTACCCGTGAATTTTATCAAGAATATAACAAGAGTTTTGGTCAATTTTGGAAATCAAAAACAGGCCAAGATATTGAATTTAAGCAGTCTCATGGTGGTTCTGGTAAGCAAGCACGCTCAGTGGTAGATGGTTTGCAAGCAGATGTGGTGACACTGGCTTTGGCTAATGATATTGATGAAATTGTCAATGCGGGTCTGATTGAAAAAGGCTGGCAAAAAGAATTTCCGAATAATTCTGCACCCTACACATCTACCGTTGTTTTTTTAGTACGTAAGGGCAATCCCAAAGCAATTAAAGATTGGAATGATTTGGTAAAACCTGGGGTTGAAATTATCACACCAAACCCTAAAACAGGCGGTGCGCCGCGTTGGATTTATTTATCAGCGTGGGGCTATGCATTAAAACAACCGGGTGGTAATGATGCAAAAGCGCGTGAATTAGTCAAACAAATATATAAAAATGTCAAAGTGTTAGATTCAGGCGCACGTGGCTCGCTCACAACATTTGCGGATCGTGGTATTGGCGATGTTTTGTTGTCTTGGGAAAATGAAGCAATTTTGGCGACGTCTGGTCCAGATAAAGATAAATATCAAATTATTTATCCATCCATTTCAATCCTAGCTGAGCCTTCAGTCGCAATCGTCGATAAAGTGGTTGATAAAGATGGTAATCGTAATTTAGCGAAAGGCTATTTAAATTATCTTTATTCACCTGTAGGGCAGGACTTGGCAGCAAAATATAATTTCCGTCCGCGTAATGCCAAAGCTGCGGGCAAATATGCGGCAAAATTTCCAAAAATTAAACTCTTTACCATAGATCAAGTTTTTGGTGGTTGGGCAAAAGCGCAAAAAACCCATTTTGCCAATGGGGGAATTTACGATCAATTTACCGCTGAAAAGTAATTTGAATCAAATACAAACAAGTCCTCTTTGATCAAAGGGGGCTTTTTTTAGCCTTATACTTTTGTGATGAAAATAAATAAAACAGACAAAATATAAACCACAGCGATGTTGAGCGCTTTCATCAATTAAAACAATAGATTGATTTTTAATCTGTGCTGAGTTTGCTGGTATTTCGCTTTTTGATTGAAGTTTATTCGCTTATTTCATATATTTAGAATAATTTTAGCGATGTTAGCACTCATAATATGAAAACTAATTTTAAAGCACTGATGAGTGCTGTGGTTATTGCGACGGGATTAACTGTTGCAACGACAGCAAGTTATGCTGCTGACCGTGAATTTTTAAATGTGTCTTATGATGCAACGCGTGAGTTTTATGATGAGTTTAATAAATCATTTGGTGCTTACTGGAAATCTCGTACAGGCAAGACTGTTGATTTTAAACAATCGCATGGTGGTTCGGGAAAACAAGCGCGTGCCGTGGTTGATGGCTTAAAAGGTGATGTAGTGACCTTAGCTTTGGCCAATGATATCAACGAAATTGTGAAATCAGGTCAAATTAATCCAGGTTGGGAAAAAGAATTTCCAAATAACTCAGCACCGTATACGTCTACCGTTGTGTTTTTAGTACGCAAAGGCAATCCCAAAGGTATCAAGGATTGGACAGATTTGACCAAACCTGGTGTACAAATCATTACCCCTAATCCTAAAACAGGCGGTTTACCACGCTGGATCTATCTCTCAGCTTGGGGCTATGCACTTAAACAACCGGGTGGTAATGATGCTAAAGCACGTGAGTTTGTTTCTAAGATGTACCATAACGTAAAAGTTATGGATCCAGCTGCACGTGCATCGATGACCACATTTGCTGAACGTGGGATTGGTGATGTTTTACTGACTTGGGAAAATGAAGCCATGGTGAGTAAGAAAGCATCTGGCAATAAATTTGATATTGTCTATCCATCGATGTCAATTTTGACTGAACCGTCAGTGGCAATTGTTGATAAAACAGTAGAGAAGAATGGCAATAAATGGTTAGCAACGGGTTATATTAACTATTTGTATTCTCCAATAGGTCAAGATATGGCAGCACGTCATTTCTATCGCCCGCGCAATGCAAAAATCTTAGCTAAATATTCCAACCAATTCCCTGTACTGAAAACATTTACCATTGATGAAGTCTTTGGTGGTTGGGCAAAAGCACAGCAGACGCACTTTGCCAATGGCGGTGTTTTCGATCAGATTTATAATAGCAAGCGCTGAGTATCAACTATTTTGATTGAAAAAACCTCCTTTTTAGGAGGTTTTTTCAATCTGTTATGAATCAGTTAGACTAGGGTTTGTTGACAATTCGTCTCTGTTTGCGACTAAGAGTGTTTTTTAGATGATACAAGGCACGAAATATGAAATTTAGTCATTCTAAATAAATAGTTCGTAACGATGTAGCTGCAAAAAACACTCTAGTCCCCCGCTGCGCCTTGCGCTGCAAACAAAGCAGTGCTTTGTTCTTGCTCAGGGTTGTGGCTAAAATTATCTCAGTCTGCGTTATGAAACTCGAAAATAGTCTCGCTATTCTCTTCGTTTCCTGCCTTGCCTGCTCAATTTTAGCCTACAACGCAAGCCATTTATGAAATGTCAGCAGACCCTAATATCAAAGTGAGTAATCAATTTAAACTATGGATATTACGCTAAGGCTTGCGACTGAAAATGATATTGAGGTTATTTTTGATATACGAACGTCAGTCAAAGAAAACCATTTGTCAAAACAACAATTGACTGAACTGGGTATCACTGAGTCGGTCATATTGGATTTAATTCAAAATACTTCGACTGTCTGGCTTGCAGAGCTGCAGCATCAAGTGTGTGGTTTTTCGATCGCAGATTTAACCGACGGTAGCGTATTTGCCATGTTTGTTCACCCTGATTTTGAAGCCAAAGGTGTCGGAACTGCGCTTTTGAAAAAAGCAGAAGATTTATTATTTGAATATTTTCAAGAAATTTGCTTGGAAACCGATCAAAAAAGTCGTGCTTTTGAATTTTATCTCCGACAGGGTTGGCGTGTTTTAGCGTATTTTGATAATGGTGATGTGAAAATGCTCAAGACACGATAACGCTTTGTCGCAGGATGGATGAGCTATTTTTTGTACTGAACTTTTATAAAAAGCACTTTAAAACGGTTTTCTCTATAAAAAGTAATATTTCCCTACAAAAAGTCGTTTGGAGCTTTGGCAAAACAAGGTAATAATGTGCAGTTACTTTTTTTGCTTAAACTGAAACCATAATTATGTCTCATATTTCTGTATTACTACATGAAACTGTCGATGCTTTACTTGCAGATCGCAATACAGGAATTTACGTGGATGGGACATTTGGGCGTGGTGGACACACCCGTTTATTGTTGTCTAAATTAGATGAACATTCAAAAGTTTATGCTTTTGATAAAGACCCACAAGCATTAGAAGTGGCATATCAGTTAGAAAAAGAAGATCCTCGTTTTAAAATTATTCATGCCAGTTTTGCAGATTTACAACAAGAATTAAATCAATTGGATATTTATCAAGTCGATGGGATTATGGCAGATTTAGGGGTGTCATCACCACAGCTAGATCAAGCAGATCGTGGTTTTAGTTTTATGAAAGATGGACCACTTGATATGCGTATGGATAATTCTCAAGGACAAACAGCCGCAGATTGGCTACTGGATGTAGACGAAGAACATTTGGCCAATGTGATTTTTCAATATGGTGAGGAACGTTATAGTCGTCGTATTGCACGTGCGATTAAGCAAGCAGGTTATATTGAAACCACTGGAAAATTAGCGGAAATTGTGAAAGTTGCGCATCCTAAGTGGGAAAAGAATAAACATGCTGCAACACGGACGTTCCAAGCTATTCGTATTGAAATTAATAAAGAACTCGATGACGTACATACCTTTTTACCTCAAGCCGTAGATTTGTTAAAATCAAATGCACGTTTGGCAGTCATTAGTTTCCATTCACTTGAAGACCGGATTATTAAACAATTTATTCAAAAAGAATCAACGTTGCCAGAAGATAATGGTTGGGGATTGCCTCAGAAAGTACAAGATACTCGTCGACTGAAAAAAGTTGACAGAATTCGTGCCAGTGAGGAAGAAGTCAAAGCCAATCCTCGCTCACGTAGTGCTTGGCTTCGAGTTGCAGAACGCTTAGAACAAAAAGGCGCAGAATGAAACAAGAAATTATAGAAGAATCAAGTCATAAGCTGGCAATAAAAAAAGCGATTGTTTATGGCGTATTGGTTGTCGCAGTGTTGATCAGTGCCTTTATGGTGGTGTTGCAAGTCTTTGCTTATCGTCATGATTTTCGTGATTTAAATAGTTATATGCGTGAACGTGAAGATATCAATGCGGAATGGGGACGTTTGCTCATTGAACAACAAACATTTGGTGCAACTGCGCAAATAGGAACACGCGCAGTAACACAATTGAGAATGTATTCACCGCCAGCTGCGCAAACAGTTGTCATTTCATTACCAACTGAATCAGAGCAGAAGAAGTAAGGCATCTGTATGGCAGATAAGCAAACTAAACCGACTCGGCAGCCACGTAAAAAGCAGCCATCCATTACCCAGAAAAGTACTGTATCGATAGATATGTGGCGTTTCTATTTAATGTGGGGCGTGGTGCTTTTATGTTTTGTCGGCTTGGTCGGACGTGCATTTTATGTGCAAGTGATTAATAAAGACTTTTTACAAAATAAAGCCAATGCCAACATTCTACGTTCTGAAACATTAAAAGCCATGCGTGGTGTGATTAGTGATCGTCATGGCGTGCCTTTGGCAATCAGTTCTCCAATCATGAAAGTGGTGATTGATCCGCGCGAATATTTTGAGACTAAAAAACAGTTTGATACCATCACGGCTGAATTACAGAAGACACCTAACAGTCGTAAACTCAAACGCCAATTGCCTGATGAAAATTTAAATTTAGATGAATTGGCAGATGCGGTCGGTCTTGATCGTGCAGACTTAAAAAAACGTTTAAATGAACGTCCACGTTCTCGTTATTTGGTACTTAAAAAAGAAGTTCCGCCACCACAAGCAGATTTTATTACCCAACATAAATTTGCTGGCGTTTATGCCGAGAAAACCTATAAACGTTATTATCCTCAGCCGCAACCCAATGCGCAAATTATTGGTCTCACCAATAGTGAAGGGACGGGGATTGAAGGTTTAGAGATGCAGTTAAACTCCCGTCTTGCTGGTGAAGATGGTGAGCAAAAGATTTCTCGTGATAAACATGGTAACCGTATTACCACCCCTGAAGTTGTAAAAGAAGTGAAAGCAGGGGAGAACATCACCTTAAGTATCGACTCACGTTTGCAATATATTATGTATCGTGAGTTGACTGCGGTGGGTGTTGCCAATAATGCACGTTCCGCTTCAGCAATTGCTGTGGATGTAAAAACGGGCGAAATTCTGGCTATGGCGAGTTGGCCTTCTTATAATCCTAATGATAAAAATGGCTTAAGTAATAAAGATGCCATGCGTAACCGTGGTGCAATTGACATGTTTGAACCTGGTTCAACCATGAAACCTTTTACCATTGCAGCAGGTTTGGAAAGTGGCAAATATACCCCAAACTCGGTGATTAGTACCAGTCCAGGTTCGATGCGTTTAGGTTCACATACTATTCGTGATACGCATAACTATGGTTCGTTGACCGTCACTGGTGTGATTATTAAATCCTCGAACGTCGGTTCGGCAAAAATTGCTTTGTCTTTACCAAAAGAAACCTTGCCAAGTTTCTTTAGAAAGGTCGGTTTTGGTCAGCGTTCGGCAGTTAAATTCCCAGGTGAGAGTGGAGGTTTAGTGCTTCCACCTGAAAAGTTAAATTCTTCGCAAATTGGTACAATGGCTTATGGTTATGGTCTAAATGCTACGATTTTACAGTTGGCGCAAGGCTATGCAATGTTGGCCAATCATGGTGTGGAATATCCTTTAAGTCTTTATAAATTAAATGATCAGCCCAAAGGTAAACAGGTTTTAGCGCCTAAAATTGCTGATGAAGTTTTGTTGATGTTAGAGCAAGTTACGATGCCTGGTGGTACTGCAAAACAAGCCAATATTCCCGGTTATCGCGTGGGTGGTAAAACAGGTACAGCACACAAGTTGCGCCCTGACCATAGAGGTTATTCGAATACTGAATACCGTGCTTTATTTGCCGGTGTGGCACCGATTAGTGATCCTCGTTTGGCGGTTATTGTTGTAGTCGAAAATCCGCGTGGACAATACTATGGTGGTTTGGTTGCCGCTCCAGTGTTTGCCCGAATTATGCAAGAATCTTTACGTTTAATGAATGTGCCTTTAGATAAACCTCTTGAAACGGCTAAGGCCAAGCCATAGGTAAACCATAATGATTAATTTTCAAGATATTTATAAAGTTGATAATACAAAGGCTTGGATGTCTGAGTCATTTAATGGCTTTTCTCTAGATAGTCGTTATGTACAACAAGGGCAAATTTTTATTGCTTTGACCAGTTATTCGCAGCCAGAAAAAACCACACAATTTGCTCAAATCGGTTTAGATAAAGGCGCATTGGGCATTATTAGTGAAACAGATTTAGGCTTTGAATCTGCATTGATCTGCCCAGATGTGCGTCAGTTGATGGGACAATGGCAAAAACAATATTTACAAGCGACATCTCCTGTAAAAGCTGCGCGAATTCTTGCAGTCACGGGAACCAATGGTAAAACCACGATTTCACGCCTCGTTGCTGAATTACTGGCATTACAAAATAAAAAATGTGCAGTGATGGGAACGACGGGGAACGGGATTCTGCCAAACCTAGAAGCATCTTCGCATACCACTTTAGATGCGTTGCATTTACAAAATCTTCTGCATGATTTTGCTATGCAAGGTGCTGAATTCGCTTCAATTGAGGCAAGCTCGCATGGTTTGGAACAAGGTCGTTTAAATGGTTGTGATATTGAGATTGCTGCATATAGTAATCTGAGTCGAGATCATTTGGATTATCACGGGACGCTTGAAGCCTATGCTGAAGCAAAAGCGTTACTGTTTAAATTTGCTGCATTAAAAGTTGCAGTAATTAACATAGATGATGCGCATGCAGACCTAATGATGAATGCTGCAAGCAGCAATCTGTCACATCCGAAAGTATTGACTTATTCAACCTCTAAAGCGGCTGATTACCAAGTATTTGGGATTAAATATAGTCTAGATGGGGCAACATTCCATCTCAAAACAGCTAAAGCTGAATTTACAGTAAATAGCCCATTGCTTGGGCATTTTAATATTGAAAATTTGGTGGCCAGTTTAATTGTTGCTGAACAAGCAGGTTTTGATTTAAAACAACTTATCGCAACCGTACCTGATTTGAAAGGTGCACCTGGACGTATGCAGGTGATTCGTGATCAGGATCGTCTGTTTGTGGTGGATTATGCACATACACCAGACGCTTTAACTCAGGTTTTAAAAACCTTGAAACGCCATGTTGAAAATCAGCTTTGGGCCGTCTTTGGTTGTGGTGGTGATCGAGATCGCGGTAAACGCCCATTAATGACCAAAGCAGCTTTGGAACAAGCCAATCCTGTGATGATCACATCAGATAATCCACGTACAGAAAATCCTGAGCAAATTTTTGCCGATATGAAGCATGAAATTGATTTTAGCCAGCATGAGGTTCACGAAATTCGTGATCGCCGTGAAGCAATCAAATATGCAGTAAAACATGCCCAATCAGGTGATATTGTTGTGATTGCCGGCAAAGGGCATGAAAATTATCAAGAAATTGATGGTGTTCGTCATTGGTTTGACGATGTCGTTGAAGTGCAATCGGCAATAGACGCACAACACCATAAACCCAATTCAGCTTATCCAGCTCATTAGGAATAAGAGATGCACACCTCTACCACCAGTACTGTGCCTTTGGAGCCATGGTCAGCAGCACAACTTGCTGAAGCAACTCAAGGTTATTGGTATTTAGATCAAGCACCACAAGGTGAAATTAAACGTATTTTGACTGATTCACGTCATGCTGAATTAGGTGATGCTTTTTTGGCGCTCAAAGGTGAGCGTTTTGATGCACATGATTTTGTTGCTCAAGTGGCTGCGAATGGCTGCCAAATTGCCATCGTGAGCCATCCTGTTGATGTAAATATCTGTCAACTTGTCGTGGCAGATACACGTTTGGCATTGGGGCATTTAGGCGCGTATCGTCGTGCTCAACATCCACAATTAAAAGTGATTGCACTTACAGGCAGTAGTGGCAAGACCACCACCAAAGAGATGTTGGGGAGTATTCTTTCACGTTTAGCCCCGACCTTGATTACACGTGGCAATTTAAATAATGATCTTGGTGTGCCAATGATGCTATTGGAGCTGCGTTCAGAGCATCAATATGCGGTGATGGAGCTTGGTGCAAGCCATCAAGGTGAAATTGATTACACCTCAAATCTTGTACAGCCACATGTTGCTGGTATTTTAAATATTGGAACTGCGCATTTAGGCGAATTTGGTGGACGTGATGGAATTTGCCGTGCCAAATCTGAAATTTACCGTCATATTGATCAAGCTGGAACAGCAATTGTTCCTGCTCAGGATGATTTTACCGATACGATTCGCCAAGTGGTAGACACTGAGCAAGTGTTAAGTTTTGGTCAGGGTGGCGAAGTCTTTGCGACAGATGTTCAGTTACACGCACAGTCTGCAATCTTTACCCTTAATACGCCTCAAGGTGCAAGAACCGTCAATCTTCCTTTTGCAGGTGAACATAATGTCCATAATGCAGAAGCAGCGGCAGCATTTGCCTTAGCGATTGGTGTTGGTTTAGACGATATTATGATCGGCTTGGAATCGGCACAAGGTGCAAAAGGGCGTTTGAATTTTATTCATAAGCACAAGCATTTATTTATTGATGATACCTATAATGCCAACCCGACTTCAATGCGTGCAGCAGCTGAAGTACTTGCGCAACAGCAAGGGATCAAAGTGATGGTGATTGGCGATATTGGTGAACTGGGCGATACTGCTGCGCAGCAACACTATATGTTGGGTCGTGATCTGGTTTCAGTGGATGGGATTCAATTTGTTGTTGCAGTAGGTGAGTTTGCTCCTGCTACACAAGAAGGTGCGCGAAGCACTCAATATGGTAAAAAATTACAAGCTTTTCTTAGCCAAGAACAAGCTTTACCTTTATTGTTAAGTTTAATTGCAACACATCAACCACAGTCCATGAGTTTCCTGTTTAAAGGTTCTCGCTATACCCATATGGAAACGTTGATGGCTGATTTGATGGAGAAAGTTTAATGCTGTATTGGTTATTTCAACACTTGGCGGGTTATGAGAACGCGTTCCAAGTTGTTCGATACTTATCGTTACGAGCATTGCTCAGTGTATTGACTGCACTTGCGATTGGTTGGGCCTTGGGACCAGTAATGATCCGTAAATTACAAGCGCTCAAATATGGTCAGGCTGTCAGTTCATATGCACCTGAAAATCATGCCAAAAAAATGGGTACACCGACAATGGGCGGGATTTTAATTCTGCTTTCGATCGGGATCAGTACCTTGCTTTGGGCAGATTTATCCAATCCTTATGTATGGATTGTCTTGGCTGTTATGGTGATCTTTGGTGCTGTAGGTTGGGCGGATGATTGGATTAAAGTCCGTTATAAAGACAATGCGGGTTTACCTGCCAAGAAGAAATTCTTTTGGACTTCGGTTGGCTCTTTGGGGGCGGGTATTGCGTTGTATATCATTGCAACTCAGCAAGACAGCCCCGTACATACAGCGAATATGCTGGATTTGTTGATACCATTTTTTAAAAATCTGAGTATTCCATTGTCTTCAATTCCATTGGGTATTGGCTTCATTATTTTTACCTATCTGGTAATCAATGGTGGGTCAAATGCAGTGAATTTGACCGATGGGTTAGATGGTCTGGCGATCATGCCGATTGTTTTGGTTGCCGCAGGTTTAGGTGTTTTTGCATACTTGGCAGGTGATATACGCTTTGCCAATTATTTACATATTCCCTATGTAAAATATACCTCTGAGCTGGTGATTATTTGTGCTGCAATGATTGGAGCGGGTTTAGCATTTCTTTGGTATAACGCGCATCCAGCCCAAGTCTTTATGGGAGATGTCGGTGCATTATCATTGGGTGCAATGCTGGGCACTATCGCGGTAATGGTTCGTCAAGAGATCGTCTTTGCAATTATGGGCGGGGTCTTTGTAGTAGAAGCAATCTCGGTATTCTTACAAATCGGATCATTACGTATGCGCAATAAACGTGTATTTCTTATGGCACCGTTGCACCATCATTATGAGAAAAAAGGCTGGCGTGAGACTCAAGTGGTGATCCGTTTTTGGATTATCACAATTATGCTGGTAGTTTTAGGTCTAATGACATTAAAATTACGTTAAGCCAAAGTGATTTGAAAAGTCGGCATTTGCCGGCTTTTTTTATGGCCTAAAAATATCTTTTGGAGAATACGATGAATTTGTTGATGTGCCCTGTATGTCGTGAGGCATTGAGCCTATCGGATCGGACTTGGCGCTGTGTAAATAATCATAGTTATGATGTGGCAAAACAAGGCTATGTAAATTTACATGTAGTACAACATAAGCATAGTAAAAATCCAGGGGATACGCCTGAATCTGTACAAGCACGACGTGGATTTTTAAGTGGTGGATTTTATGCACCTTTACAGCAAGCCGTGGTTGAGAAAATTCGTGAGTTACAGGTTAAAAACCTGCTGGATATCGGCTGTGGTGAAGGCTACTATACCGATGCAATGCAACATCAAGTGATGCAATGTATTGGGGTTGATATTGCAAAAAATGCGGTTCAAGTTGCTGCAAAACTCAATAAAGATGTGACATGGATTGTGGGAACAGGAGCGACTCTACCTGTTTTGGATCATTCGATTGATTTGTGTACCAGCTTATTTAGCCCGATCCCAGAAGAAGAAATACTCCGAGTGCTTAAGCCGAAGGCTTATTTGATGGTGGTAACACCTGCACCAGAGCATTTATATGGGATGCGTGAGGGCTTGTTTGATGAAGTTAAAGCCCATGAACCGCAAAAGTTTGTCACGCAATTACAGGCATCTTTTGAATTAGTAGAGCAGCCGATTATCGAAACAACGTTTGAGCTGGATCAAGCACAACTCAAAAACCTGATTGCGATGACCCCTTATGCTTATAAAGCAAAACCTGAAAAGCGGTTAGTTTTAGAAGCACAAGCTAAAACGATGTTAAAGGCAGCCTTTCAAATTTATATTTTTCAGAAAAAATAATAGAAATTTAAGCCATAAAAAATGCCATCAATTGATGGCATTTTTTATTTGAGAAACTAATTATTGAACTTCATTAATCAAATTCTCAAGAGAATCACTTTCTCGTTTTGCACTGCCTTGATTCATTGCAGGCGGTGTTACTTTGTTCGGTTTTAGCGGTTGATCTGAACCTTCATCAGGTAAGTCTTCAAAGTCATTTGATGAATTACGTGATGGTGTAACAGGTGCAGGTTTAAAGATTGGACGGGCTAAAGGCGGTGATGAACCATTGCCTTCATTTTGAGTAGCACCTTCAACTTGTGTCTGATTACGTTCTTCACGAGAGATTGGTGCTTTGGCATTTTTATCAAAATGTACCCAAGCAGATGGCGTGTCTTTTAAGGCTTTACCCATAAAGCCTGTCCAAACTGGAAGCGCTGCGATCCCACCATATTCACGACGACCAAGTGTTGAAGGCTGGTCAAAACCGACCCAAGCAATCGCAACTAATTTGCCGTTGAAGCCAGCAAACCACGCATCTTTAGCATCGTTGGTTGTCCCTGTTTTACCGCCAATGTCATCGCGACCAATTTTAAGTGCTGCACGACCAGTACCATGCACAATCACATCACGAAGAATATTTGCCATATCAAAAGCCGATTGTGATTTTAAAATCCGTTGTGCTTGACGATATTTACTTTGTTCTTCTTTGCTTAGTGGGGTTTGAACCTCATCCACTGTAAGGTTTGCACCTTCAATCACTTCATCATCAGGGGTGATGGCTTGGGTATCGACTACCGTCTCTTTTTGATTGATACATGGAATACACGCATATTCAGGCGCTGCTTCATAAATGGTTTTGCCATAAGCATCTTCAATACGGCTGATGAAATGCGGTTGAATGCGATATCCACCATTGGCAATTGCGGCATAGCCAGTTGCCATTTGAACTGGAAGTACTTGTGGGGTACCGAGCGCAATCGTGAAGTTACGTGGGATTTGATCTTCTTGTAGGCCAAAATCCATCAATAATTGGCGCGCACGTTCTACGCCTACGCTTTGTAATAAACGTACAGATACCGTATTACGAGATAAGTACAACGCACGACGCAAAGGAATCATACCCAAATAACGACCATCTGAGTTTCTTGGTGACCAACGACCAATCGTAATAGGGCTGTCATTGACCATGGTATAAGGGGTCATACCGCGTTCAAGCGCCAGTGCATAGACGAATGGCTTAATGGTTGAACCTGGTTGACGCCAACCTTGTATTGCGCGGTTAAATTTAGATTGGTAAAAGTTGTATCCACCCACCACAGCTTCAATTGAACCATCATTCGGGTTGATTGCAATGAGTTGACCTTGTGCTTTCGGTGTTTGAACCAATGACCACGCGGTTTTATTTTCATTGGGACGTAAGCGAATAATATCTTTAACACTTACAATCTGCGAAGCGCGGCTTGGTGCCCCACCAACTGCATTGGCATTGATATATTTTCTTGCCCAAGACATACCTGACCAAGGCACAGTCACTGTTGAACCATCTTGCATTTTGGCATCAAAACTATTGCTGCCTACCTTGATGACTTCAGCAGGGTAGGTATTGGCATAAGCAATGAATTCTTTTAAAGGTTTATCATGTGCTTCAGCACCACGCCATCCATGACGACGATCATAATCTTCCAAGCCTTTTTGTACTGCATCTTCTGCATATTGTTGGCGTTTGCTGTTGACCGTTGTATAAACTTTATAACCCGAATCAATTGCTTGTTCACCAAACTTTTCAACCAATTCTGAGCGAACCATTTCACCTACATAGGGAAATCGATTACTTAAGCCGCGATCAGGCATACTCAGATTAATCGGCTCAGCGACAGCTTTTTCGTATTCTGCTTGTTTAAGATAGCCAAGTTGTAACATGCGGCCAAGAATCCAGTTGCGACGTTCTAATGCGCGTTCAGGATTCACTACAGGATTGTATTTTGATGGTGCTTTGGGTAAGCCCGCAATCATCGCCATTTGTGCGACACTGAGTTGATCTAAGCTTTTGTCATAATAAATTTTTGCAGCAGCAGCAATACCATAAGCATTTTTACCCAAAAATATTTTATTGACATATAAAGATAAAATTTCTTCTTTCGATAGATTTTGTTCTATTTTACGTGCCAAAAAAACTTCGGTAAGTTTGCGCTTAAGTGTTCGTTCAGGTGATAAATAATAATTTTTAGCCACCTGCATGGTAATTGTTGAGCCACCTGTTTGTACATTTGATCCAGTGACACTTTCACTCACTGCACGCCCTAAGCCTTTAAAGCTAATCCCGCTATGTTCGAAGAACGATGAATCTTCAGCAGCAAGGAAGGCATGAATGAAATGCGGTGGGATCTGCTTGTACTCAACAGGCACCGAAAGCTTGCCACCATATTCAGCGATCAGCTGATTATCTGCTGAATAAACTTGCAAAGGTTTAAGCAATGGCGCCTTTTTTAAAGAGCTCATTTCTGGTAGTGATGGGGCAATATATAGATACATTCCATAAAAGCCCATCGGAATTGCGACTAAAATAATGATAATCAGCAAAAAAAAGGGATGAATATAACCTGAACAAGATAGCTTTTTCATAACAAGTAAGTTTTAATAATAGCTAATGGCAAACTAATTGCGTTCAGTATAGCTTCTCATGTGATGGATTGTTAGATGGGATATTGTATCTGTAAAAAATTAAGACCAAATGCAGTCGGTTTGTGTTATTTATTGGGGATAAAAAAATAATAGGAAATCAATCGTGCTTAGACTATATCGTAAGCCAAATAAGGGGTTAATAGGAGTAGATATTAGTTCTACTACTGTAAAGATTTTAGAGCTCTCTGTTAAGAACGGTCGTTACTGGGTTGAAAGTTATGGATTAAGTCCACTGCTTGATGGGAGTGTTGTTGAAAAAAACATTCTTAATCCTGAAGCAGTTGCTGATGCGTTGGAAAGGGCTGTCAATATTGGCAATCCTCAATCGCAAAATGTTGCGGTTGCTGTACCTACATCTATGGTGATTCACAAAATCATCGAAATGGATGCCGATATGTCGGATGAGGAAAGAGAAGTTCAGATTCGAATGGATGCTGAACAATATATCCCTTTCCCGCTGGATGAAGTCAGTTTAGATTTTGAAGTGTTAAAAGATAAGCTAGCAAATCCAAATCGAGTCAATGTGTTACTTGTTGCAACACGTGCAGAGAATATTGATTCTCGTGTTGAAGTTTTAGAAATCGCAGGCTTATCACCTAAAATTGCAGATGTAGAAAGTTATGCAATTGAGCGTGCTTTTGATGTCTTTTCCGATACCTTACCAATCGGTGTAAATCTTGTGGGTATCTTGGATATCGGCCATACCATGACCACCTTGTCTGTGATGCAAAATGGCAAGATCATTTATACCCGAGAGCAAGTTTTTGGTGGCAAGCAGCTGACTCAAGATGTACAGAACCGCTATGGCTTGTCTTATGATGAAGCTGGTCGGGCCAAAAAAGATCGGACTTTACCTGACGATTTTGAAACAGAAGTCTTAATGCCGTTTTTAGAAGCAGTGGTACAACAAGCTGCTCGTTCATTACAGTTTTTCTTTTCATCTTCTCAGTTTAACGAGATCGACCATATTTTATTGGCGGGTGGTAATGCCAATATTCCTGGGTTGGCAAAATTATTACAACAAAAACTCGGTTATCGGGTCACGATTGCAAACCCTTTCTTGCAGATGGGGTTTTCACCACAAATTGACTTAAAAAAAATAGAAAATGATGCACCTTCTTTAATGGTTGCGTGTGGTTTGGCTTTGAGGAGTTTTGATTAATGGCAAAGATTAACTTACTCCCTTGGCGTGATGAGCTAAGAGAACAGAAGAAGAAGCAATTTGTTGCAATATGTGTTGGGGTTGCACTGATTGGCTTAGTTACAGTGTTATTGGCGTGGTTCTATTTTGATCATAAGTTAGAAGATCAGGAGCAAGCCAATCAATTGGTGACCAGTACCAATCAAAATTTAGATACGCAATTAAAAACTTTAGATGGTTTACAAGAACGTCGTAATGCCATTATTGAACGGATGAAACTGATTCAAGGCTTACAAGGTCAACGTCCTGTGATTGTTCGCCTCGTTGATGAATTGGTTCGGATTGTCCCTGCACAAATGTACATCACAAAATTTAGTCGTGTGGGCGATAAATTTACCATTGAGGGGAAAGCTGAAAGTCCAAACACAGTTGCTGAATTGTTGCGTGGATTAGAAGCTTCTGAATGGTATCGAAATGCGTTTATGAATTCATTCTTAGCCGCAGATGAAAATAAAAATAAAGAACAGACTTCGGTGATTCCTCGTGTGGAAGAATCATATGGAAGTTTTGTTGTGACTGTAGATATCGGTGAAATAGCAGCGACTGCAGATGGGGATACAACTAAAGCTGAACAAGTTCCAGCTGCTGGGGGTGCAAAATGAGTCGTGAAGATTTTGAGCAATTAGAATCATCTGTAAATGATGCTCCAAAAAAGAACAAGATGACCGTTGAGAAGTTTTTTCAACAGTTTAATACCTTGGATATGAATAACTATGGCAGTTGGCCTCTATCCGTTAAAGTAACTTGTTGGGTATTCTTGTTTTTTTTGGTGTGTGCAATTGGCTATTTTTTAGCAATTAGACCTAAATTAGATGCAATTGATCAAGCGCGTACAGTTGAACAAAACTTATTAAATGAATTTAAAGAAAAGGATTCTAAATTAAGAAACTTGCAGCAATATCAAGCGCAATTGCAACAAATGGAAGCAAATTTTAATCAGCAATTAGAACAGCTTCCTAAAGAAACTGAAATTCCGAGTCTGGTTGAAGACATTAACGTGACAGGAGTAAGTTCTGGTTTGAAATTTAAGAATATCAAATTAGAACCAGAAGTGAAGCAGGAGTTCTTTATTGAGCAGCCAATTTCGATTGATGCAACAGGGGATTATCATTCATTCGGCAGTTTTGCAAGTAGTCTGGCGGCGTTACCACGTATTGTCACTTTGCATGATTTCACAATTACAGGAACACCTAGCCAAGATAAAAAATCTGATGTGCCAGTGATTGACTATACAATTAAAGCAAAAACCTATCGCTATATCGGTGCTGATGAGCAGAAGATAAATAAATCTGTCAATACTGCTGCGCAGACAACGACACCTCAGCAAGGAGGGACGCCACAATGAAACAGCTCAGTAAAATAGTTTGTGGAATCTCATTTGCGATGCTGTTGGTGGGGTGCGATTCTAGAATTGATGCCGTTAATCAAGAAATGGCAAATATTAGAAATCAGCAACCATTGCCGATTGAACCTGCGCCAGTATTTAATCCAGTGCCAAGTTTTAATTATTCTGCTCAACAGTTACGCAGCCCATTTTTGCCAAACTCATTAGCAAATGAATTGAAAATCATGTCAGGCAAGCGCGTCTACCCGAATTTTTCAAGACAGCCACAGCCGCTTGAAAGCTATCCTTTGGAGTCATTAACACTGAAAGGAAGTATGAAAGGGTCCGTTGGTCAGACCGTGGGTTTGATCAAAACACCAGATGGTGAGATTGAGCGGGTACAACTTGGTAATTACATGGGCATGAATCAGGGGCGAATTATTGAAATTACGCCGACCCGTATTGATTTATTGGAAATTGTTCCAGATGGTCGAGACGGTTATATAGAAAGACCACGGAGTCTAGTTCTAATCGGTCCAATAGATTAAAACGGAATAAAGGAATAAAAATGAAAAAGAGTTTGAAAAATATCTTTAACGGGGATGGTAAGTTTATGAATAGTCAACTTCGTCAATTTACTATGGCGGCAGTGTCAATTGCGATTATGCAGGTTGCAGCAGCACAAACAACCATGACCAATATTGTACCGATGAAAATACCGGGGCAAGGTACAGAAATTCGGGTGATGTTTAATGGCTTACCGCCACAGCCTCAAGCCTATCAATTGGATAATCCATCTCGACTGATTTTGGATTTTGATCAGGCGAAGCAAACGATCAATCAGCCGTCTATTGCTGTGGCAAGTGAAGAAGCGTCGACGGTGGATATTGCGGCCGATGATCAACGTTCACGCTTAACGGTAAATTTAAAAAATAGTGGTTCTTTTACAACACGTGTTGAAGGGAATACCTTTATTTTAAAGATTAACAATGCCAATCAAGCTGCTGCTTTACCGACTTATGCCTCATCTGCATCTACGCTGAATAAACAAAATCAAGGCATCGCAGATATCGGTTTTCAGCGTGGCAATGCGGGTGAGGGCCAGGTTATTGTAAATCTGTCTGGTGCAAATACACCTGTGGATGTGCAACAACAGGGCAGTAAAGTTGTTATTCGAACATTAGGGAATAAAATTCCAGCACATTTAATTCGTCGATTAAATGTCAATGATTTTGCGACCCCAGTTTCTTCTGTGGATGCTTATAATGATGGTTCCAATGGTGTAATCACCATTCAATCTTCGTGTATCTGCAACCGCACTTCCTCTTAAGCTCAGTAGACTTTCTAAAGCTAAAGAATCTGTATTATTGGTATTATTCGCCTGCGCACCTTTAGGGTTTCTAGAGTCCTGTAACAGTTTAAGAAC